GGTCCCGCCGCCGCCTGTGAATTCCACGCATTTACTGCGACTGCTTCACAGGGCACCTGTTACAGCTGTGCCCCACGCTGCCGCCTCCAGACTGCCAGGTGCTGGAAAACATCTGCTCCTGACCCTTTGGTCAATTAATTGTCAAAATTAAGTACGTCAGTACAGAGGCGTGTGCTCTCACCCTCACCATGTATAAACCGCGGTGCCATAACCTGTCCTTGGGAGAGCAACACCGCTTACTGCACTATTTTTTTCCAAGGTATGGTGTGAGAAGAGGTGGAGGAGGGGCGCGGGTGGTTCCGGTGCTCCCGGGATGACTCCCCACCGCTTTGCCCCCCAGCGCAAGGTCTGGTGGGGCCTTGGGCACCGTGTGCGCGTTCCCAGTCCCGTCCCCCCCCCGGGGAGGTCCCCGGTGACCTGGGCTTGGAGGGGCCAGCTTAGCGTGGAGCCAAATGTGGGCCGTACCCAGCCAGCGAGCGTTCGGCCACGAGGCCGTCCAGCGCCCTGAGAGGGATGAGTGGCGTTTAGCAGGTTGTGTAATTACATGCAATTAACGCACGAGTGCTTTATGAGCGGCAAGGCGTGTGGCGCTGTACCCGCGGGCTTCTGCAGCTGGGACCCTGCCCCTGCTGCTGAGCCACCCCGCGCCCGGGAGCACACAGCGGGGGGGAAAGGCGTGAAACGGGGCTCCTGCCGCCCTCCGCTCCCCCCCGCTGACGGGGCCAAGCAGGAACCTCGCAGTGGTTGGTACACACTGGCCAGAGTTTTGGGGGGTCTTTTTTGTTTTTGTTTTTGTTTTTTTTTTTTAAATGAAGTTTTCATTAGCAAAGAAAGAAACATGCCAGCCCGTTACCGGGAAACCCCAAGGTGGGTAGCTGGCAATAAGCAGAGAAGGAGGGCAAACTGGAATGTCCCAAACATGAGAGACAACCCAGCCACCCCGACAGGGTTAAGCGTACGTGGCTGAACGGGAACAGCGCTGTCTGTCACCAACGCCAGATTGCGACTTGCTTTCAGTAAAGGGCGTTTGGGCAGTAACGCCGTGACGTGACGCTACCTGGGAAAGCGTAACCATGACTCACGTGGTCAGTTGCCTGCTGACTGAAGCCAGCGAGGCTCCCTCACACAGGTCACGTAGGCACAGGTTTTCGGGGGGCAGCCCGACTGCCCTTCTCCGGAGCCACGTCCTCAGAGCCGTTTTAGCCTGCTCCCTTCTTGAGCTTAGAATTGTAATTACTTGCAGCAAGTTGACTCAGTTTGGCCTGTCTGCATGCATTACAAATGACGTCCGTGTCTAGAAGTCAAGAACCCTGAATTAGTGACAGAGCAAAGTCTGTTATACGAGGGGGGAGACAAAAAAAAAAGATTATCTCGATTCACTGTCCCAGATGGTAGAAGAGTTATGTCTGCCTCATGAAAAATGCAAGTATGCTCGATACTTCAGAGGGCTCAAAAAGCACGGGGGTTTTGTAAGGGCTTCACTGGGCTCTCAGACGTGTCCTGTCAGCTCTCCTTAGCAATTAATTTCAGCAAACCCTTGTGTAACATCTATCCTATTTCTTCCCTGTCACTACGCTCTCTTGAGAAATACTGGCCTGGGGGAGGCAGGAGGGAAGGAGCTGGTTTTCTCTGGGCGCTTGTGTGCCACACGGGCTCAGCTCGAGCGCCCAAGGCCTGGGAGAGGCTCGGCTCGGCGCTGCAGACCTGGGAGCTCGCGGGAAGGGCTGATGAGCTCTCTCACACCGTGCCCAGGGTCGCCCTCATCACACCAGCGATGACAGGTGCCATCACCGCTGCAGTTTACACAGAGCAGCGGGGTGCAGAGAGATCCCTCCTCTCTCAGGGCATCGGCCTTCAGGGCTGACGGGCGAGTCACCGGGCTCTGCTGTCGGCTCCAGCCTGGTGCTGGCACTCACCCCTCCGGCTCTTGGACAGGGCAAGGGAGAGCCTCCCCCAAGCAAGCGCGCGGTGGCAGCAGGCACGGTTCCCCCGGCTTTGCTGATCTGAATAGAGGTGTAAACTCACCATCGGTGCAAACCTTCCTCCATGAGATTCGAGGATGATTCCCTCGTTCCCAGGTAGGCTAAAATACCTGGATTGCTTGCCTGCTTGCAGAGGAACCTTTCCTCATGTAACAATTCCTGCATTTTCCTCTTCTACTGGCCTCAAGTTCACGGGAGGTGCTGCAGTCTGGCACATACAGCAGAGATCTTGAGTCAGCAAGTCCCCCCGGTCCACACAATTAGACCTGTGGCTCACAACGTGCCTGATGAGAGAACTTTTATATCATCAGTAAATTATTTATGACTGCCCTTTTCCTTAAAAACAGCTTTCTTGGTTGTTACTGCTGCTGCTAAAGAGCCATGTAAAATTCAAGCCTTACGGATAGGGGCACGCAGGATGCCTCCAGGTTCACCCTAAGTTTCTCCCTAAAGCTTGAGCCCAGAGCTGAAGTTATTTTATTTCTGAGGCTCAGAGTTTGGAAGAACTGCCACGCACCCAGGTCTGTTTGCCCGCACTCCTGGAAGGTCCCAGAGCCAAGGCTGCCTCCGTTGAGAAGACCATACCAACGGCCTCCCACGTCAGCCCTGCACCAGGGGAAAGAACAGTCTCCGCTCCTGTGCGCCTCGGGGACACAGTTACCCCGAGGAGGAACAGACGTACTGGTTACACAGCTTGTGAACAGCAGTCACCAGTAAGTATCTTATTTACTCTCTAATATTTTCATCTGACAACAGGTTTTTGTCAGGAAGTTTCATCCCTAGCATCCTACAAGTTTTACAGGTGCACCTACAGCAGAAAGCAAGCGATACAAAGACATTCAGAAGCATAGACAGAAACATTTTTTTCTTTCAAATGAGAAAATAGATGACACCGCGAATGTCAAAACCAAACCATCCTGAATGAAAAACCAAAAACCAAACCAAAACCCAATAGCAAACCAACAGCAAACAATGTGAAACACAGAAACACCCCCCGCCCCAGTAAAAGGACAAAGAGCAGCATATAGAAGAACAGGAGCTAAATTTCAGTTCAGCGATGACACATTGCCTGGCAAGACACAGGTTAACGTTCCTCAGCCAGCTAAAGCGTATGCTCTTCACAAAAGGAACACTCTCTGTCATGACCACGTAGCATCTGCGGTGCTAAAACAAGAGCTCTCCCAGTATCTAGAACAAACTCTAATCCCTATAAACCAGAGGATTCCCATACTTCTCACTCACTCACACTATGGAAGGTCATAATTCCTCCATACCTACTAGTTTTAGGTGGAGAATCCACCTGAAGAACAGTATTATCCCCATCTATAGGTAAGGAACTAAGCAGAAGTGAAGGGGAAGGGCAATGGCTATCACCACCCGGTACTCACACCGTACTAGAGATTTTCCTGTTAGCCTACAGAAAACAGGGGCATGATAAGACCGCAAGGACAACCACAAAGTCAGCTTTGCAGAAGCCTACATCCCCCTCCCCTCCCCGCCCCCAACATGATCACAGCCGAGATACAACTCACTTCCTTTTCTAATCCATCTCAGAAAATTATTCCAGACCCCCGATATGGCTGCCATCAGCAAAACACACCAACTCCATGCTCATAAACCAGCACAGATCAGCAGACCAGCAGAAGCCCTTCAAAATGGCCATGACAAGCTCACAAGAACATAATTCCACCAGGAACGCATCCCACAGATTCTTCTTCTCCTGAACGTGGTCCCTCAAAACCACCGACTTGGCAGCACGAGTGAAAACTCAAAGTGCTTCAGACCAAAGTGGGAAAGAAAGTGCCAAGCTGGGGAGCTTTCATGGAGAACATGCTGGTCCCCTCCTCAAAAAAGCTTCCTTTGGGGGATCTTGACAGCGCTATAGGAAGGGAGAGGCGCTCCCGTCAGAGATCCCTGCTGGCTGCTCAGGGCAGAGCTTGTGCAGCCCCAACCCTGCCAGGGCTCCAGGAAGGGGCTGCGGAGCAGCAGCGGCCCCTGAGACACCCCTGAAATAGCAGCAGCGTGGGGGACGCGCCGTGGGAGAGGCAGGAACAGAGGCGGCAGCTGCAGCACGGTTTTGCTCCTCTTCCCGAGGGAACGGAGTCGCTTCTTACTGGGTCACGCTTGCAGAGCTTGAGAAACACTGATTTTAAAATCCAGACAGAACACATTATTTTGGCTTAGTTCTATTACTCTGCTGTGGGGCCTTGCGGCAGAAATCTGAAATGTGCAAAGTAGGCAAATACCTTAATTATTGTAACAGCAGATTTTTCCAACCAGAATTCCAGCAAGTACCACATACAGGTAAGTTACATCTACCAGAGATGAAGGTCACAGCAGGAGAAAATAAACTGTCTCAAGGTCACAGGAGCAAACAGTGTAGATTTTGGTCCTGTTACTGTCAGAAAACAACGAAACATTAGGAAAACTACCTTTTTGTGAAATGCAAGGAAAAAATAATCGGCTATTCACTACATACAAGAGTACTGGTATAGCACGTATCAAGTTTAATTGGTCTGTTACTGTCAGTCCATTTAACCATTCATATAACAGTGTAGTGTAAGATCTAAGGAACTGATACCAAAATTTGACATAAATTTAAAAATAAATACACTTCATAAATTACTGATCGGTGAGCTGTTTCGTACTGAATGCTTCTTACCCAGCTTTTGGAAAGATTTTAGTGGGGGCTTATTTAGGTAACTAGCACACAGGAGAATATAATGCGTACTTTATAATCTTTACATTCAACTATTTCTCAGATCATATAGGGGACAATCATGTCTCTCATTATGCAATGTATAAAATATTTGAATTCATTTGCTACGTGCAAACAGTAGCTAATAAGCAAGTCTTTGAAATACTACAGGATTGATTAGCTATTGTAATAAGCGAACAAAAGGGGCAGTAACCCCAAAGGGACAGTACACTGTGAATTAAATACCAGGCCACCTTTTTTTTTTTTTTTTTTTTTTTTTTTTCTTCACTTTTACAAAGTTGCAGTTGAAAACTCTGGTTGGCTTCTGGACGCTTACTCGCAGGATCTGCTTTCAATCACGTGAAGCATGGTGAGTCTGGCGGATTTCAACCAGACCTAGCATAAGCTGGAGTGCTTTATTTGGTGTTAACTTCACAAACAGTTGCATATCAGGGGAAAAAAGAGAAAATATCTTTTTTTTTTTTTTTTTTTTTTACTGTCTCAGGCAAAGAGTATTTACCGAGTAGCATATAAGCAGGTGCCACCTACTGAAGAGATGGTGGAGTGCACGCTCTGAGCGCCACACGTCTTCATAAACAAATGCTCCAGAAGCGCCCGCGTTCGCATGTGACTGCTTTAGTCATCCTCCTTCCTCCGTGTTTACTCCTTCAGCGACTCAGCCGCCAGCTTCATTTGCTGTGAGAGAAGGGAAGGAAGAAAAGGTACGGTAAGTGCGGCAGTGGCACGGTGCATTACACGGAACGGCAAAATCGGAAAGTGGGACGCTTCAGAGTCCAATGGAGTAATAAAGCTACACAAAAACCAAATTAACTCGAGCTTTGGGAGTTAAAAACGCAAGTCTGTTATGCCTGACTTTTACGAATGACACAGTTTTAACTGAGGTACTGCTTTTCCCACCAAAAGACTCAGCACATGATGATGCAATTTGTACGTTAATCAATTCTTTTTGTGACAAATAATGCCTGCGGCTGGAACTACTGGGCCCAACAGAGACAGAAAAAAATAAATAAAAAAAAAAAAACCACCTTTCTCCCTCAGCCTCACAACTGGGGGAAATTGCTGTTGGGTTGGAACTGCCCCTCTGCCGCTCCCAGCTGTGCTGGTGGCAGCGCCCTGGGTAAGCTGGCATCGCCACTGCCGCGCCTGCAAATCCCCGACCCCTGTGCGGGGGGGCAACCTGGCAGCCGCTGC